AGGGCTTAAAACGTGAAAACGACGTAACACAATTTTAAAATTTAACAAAATTAAACTTACAATCACTTGATTAAGAGTTATATTACAATATTAAAGCATTTTTTTCATCCTGGTTCAGCCATTCACCATCAGGTGGCGTTTTAGTAAAAATGCTACTAGCATATAATAGCTAACACGTTAGATGGCGCTGAAACTCATTTTTCGTTACACTAAGAACTCACGGAGTGGTTTTCACCCGCGTCTGCGGCGGGACTGCGGCATCTATAGAATGTAATAGTTAAGTATGTAAAATTAGTAGCACATTCCACGGCGCGTTTTACGCCTGTAGTGGTGACGATTGCTCGCGGTTGCCGCGGCGGGTACTAGTAGAACCGCGCAAGACGCGATCACCTGCGCGCTTGGCGGCCGTCGTCGCCCGCACACTTTGGCGGTCGGTTCAGGCGCAATGTGGTGCAGGCGCACGCGGGGTGAATTCTCTATTAACCGCGCGACTTGCGATTAACTCCCACTAACTTCGCGGTCCGTTCCGCAATCGCAAGGGTTTCGTGCCCGCAACCGCGGCGGCTACGTGCCCGCACTAACTTGCAGCTTCATGAATACTGAAATAAAACCGCTCTCTAGCAGCACTGGCGGGCGCGGATGGAAACCGCTCCGTGAATTGTTAACCTTCTTAACCTTAAACTGACGCTACTCAACGAGGGATGTGGTCCTACCTAATTGATAGTTGGAAACCATGTGGCTGTTTTTAATATTAAAAATATTCCATTTTTCATACTGTACCTACACTGGTACTGGTGTATTATTAAATTAATATAAATTTTTATTATTTTCTTAATGGCGGCTGCTAGGCTTGGACCAGTGTCAGTTTTATAAGAATAATATAATAAATATGGTGATCGTCGCCAGTGTCAGTTTTCTATTATACGTTACCACGGGTTGGTGAAGCTGTCACAGTCAAGAGTAAACTCGAACCATCAACGAATTTAATAAATTATGTTGTTTTTTTTATGAAGGAATTACGTAATTTTGTATAATTGTTTCTAATTTATTTTGCATGCACATGTAAAATAAAGTCGATTTTACTTTATTTATTTTTTTAGATGCATCTGCTATGGATATTTAAACAAAGTCAGAAATAGTAATAACAAAACCAATCTTTCCATTTTCTTGCAGCTTCAATCCAACCTTCTTTTATTTTGAACTCGTTGGAAAAAGTTAAAAATTAGAAATACTCTACGTTTAATCTACGAGTATAATGGAACTTAAATATCTAAATTATCTAAAACAATAATACACATACATTTTTCTTTAAACAACAGCAACATACAAATTGACATGAAATTGAAACGGTTGCCCGAAATATGAGTTGTGTTAAAGTTACTCGAAATAAAATATTTAGTAATAATAATAATAAAATAAAATAAAAGAAATCAATTTAACGTGAATGCTTTTCACTTCGATATTTTAGGGACTTTAATTACAAAAACCATGGTAAGAAATTCAAACATTTCAGTAAAAATTTATTGTCGATAAACATCAGTCTTCGTAAATGAACATCACTAAATTTGAATCTAGAAATTTCTACGGAGACAAAAAGAAAACATTGAATAAAAATAGAAATAGTAAGTAAAAATGCAAATAGCCGGTGGAATATTATCTCACTGGTTTTAAAATTTTTGTTTTCACTCCAATTTTTACAAGGCATATCGCCACAACTTGGCATTTTCACGTTTTACGAGAGACCTTGTATGTACAACGATCGCCATGTTACTGTGGCGATGTTTGTAGGCGTGTCACCTCGATATGATCATTTTGATCATATCGAGGCGACACGAACCACGCCCCCATACCAAATCTCCCCTTTTTTCTATATCTATGTACTAAACGTAAACAGGATGTCCTACAGCTTTAGCAGTTCAATCACAGATTAGGCAATTTAAGTCTTTCAATGCAGTATCATTTAGTTTTAAAAATAGAATATTGTCCCCATGACTCAAAATAAAAAATCCTATCTGCAATATTTAAAGCACAGTCAACAGTGCGACGCTCTGTATATTCTTTGATCAAATGTACCCGAATAAAAATTGGTTAAATATTAATATTTCAAAGCAAAATATGCGTGATGTTGAGAGATGTTGGGACACGCGTTGCGCTGTAATGCTGTCTGATGAATAGGGTTGGCACTTAGGGCTCATTCAGAGTGCAGGCGCGGGAGCGGCGTCTTGGCGTCTTCCGTTTCACAGTGCTACAGCGACTAAAACCGTTACAGCCACACGTCAGAGTTGCTAACTGACGCTAGACCAAGCACTGTGAAAGGTACGGACGGACCGATCCAATAGATCTGGAGCGCCCGCCTCGAGACAGGCGCCGGCGCGCGCACCCACTGTTAAAGCAACGAGTGTCTACGCACATTTGATTTAGACGCACCCGCGCCCACCGCCCCTCTGAATAAGGCCTTCGGGTTGACAACTTACTTTTGAACAGATTTGACTTATTGTCGCAGGTATTGACTTTTGAAACACGTCACAAGAGCATACCACCGCTAGCGACTGCGTAAAATGTTTGTATACAAAATGTGTTTTTGTGACCGCTAGGGGGCTGTATAATTATAACAAAACTGTGAAGTAATTCACGGCTTACCTACCACAAGCTAGAAACACGATTTACAGAATTTTGTTTCTCCGAAAACCTGTAGATTTTTATTGAATAGAATTTGTTTCATTTGTTAGAAAACACATTACGGTTTTTTTCACAGATATATATCTAGATAGACGCCGCAAGTGTACGTACTTCGCGTGCCCAAAGTAATTGAAATTCACTTACTTGCCGCTGCTACACTTCAGAACGCGTTCGACACGCGTTCTGAAGTGTAGCAGCGTCTGAAGCGTTATCGTAGATAAACGCCAAACGAAAACGCGAAAAATCCATAATTGTGCCATTATTAACTGCAAAAGCACCTTAACTGTGGGTGAACAGGTAAACAGGGACGTTTCCTACCACGGGCAAGCTTTTGTAATCAGAAGATGCATAATTTATTTTAAAAATAATTATTTTGGATTTGTATGAATTTCGAGGAAACAAATATGCGACCCAGTGTATGCCTCATTTTTAATATATTGCGGCTTTTACTTGGTGCGATATATTTGTCATCCTTTGTTAATACGCCATGAATATCGAGCGAACGCACATTTGCATAATGCATTCAGTTTCTGTGGTACGGCCTCTTGTACATTTTTTGGCCAAATTTAACATTTAGTGATGTATACGTTAGGCAACACAATTCTCGATTCTGATCGATTTTGAAAACAAAGGGACGAAATTATGACCTTAGCAATATTAGTAGTATCGGTAATTTCGATAATTTTTGCAGCGCGTCGCCTCGAATGTCCGAATATAGTGAGATAATAATTACATATTAGTTATTACTATTATTTAATTATTACGAACAAAAAAATATATAATACAAAGAATTAACAGTGCGCTGTCTTTACAAAAACCTGGAGTTGGTCATACGTATGAGTGCGTTGCTTTCGAGGACGAAGGTGGTCTAGTTTATCCCACCTAAGATGCTATCTAAATATGCAGAGTAGCAGAGTTAGAAATTCGAGAATTAATAAACAAATTTCACCATATTTTGTCAGCAGTAACATTTTCACTTGTCTTGCCATTCATCAATTTGATCAATTACCAACAGAAAACAATATAGTAAAATTAATTAAGACAGTCGCAAGTTCATATACTGAGGTGTGTTTTCATTATTTAAGTTAATCGATAAGATCTTGTATTACAAAAATACAGTTATATAATAAGCTTATATTATTTCAAGGACAATAGTTGTTTAAGTAATCAAGAGTTCAAGTAATGAATAAGTAAATAAATAAAAAAATAAGTAATAAATAAGTAAATGTTTAAGTAATCAAAATTTTTTTAAAACTACTTTTAATAAAGGACATAACTATATTGTTTTAGTATTTCACGACTACTGGTAATCAACGAATACTTGAATCGATTAATTATATGGAATAGTACGTGTATTAAGGAAGGAGGCTTCCCATTATTAAATAGTTCTTGTGACGTCATGGTGGATACATAAAATGTGGCACGTTCGGTTTTCACACAGCAAAGTACAGTCCACAATTTTAGAATAATAATTTCGTCGAAACGAATTTTCAGCAGTCAAAATTGTATGAAAAGCAGACAGTATAACAAACATGATTAGACCAAACAAACTTCTGCCCAAAGAATACGTATGTGTAATAATTATTCTAACAATAGGTTTTTGGACAAACGATACTTCTGCTGTAAGATATTTCTGTGTTGCAAATTTATACCAAAACTGCCATCGCACTAATGAAAATAAGTCGAACCGTTTTCGGAGTGACGAAATTCGGAAAAAAGAAATTCTAGTTTGTGACAGGTTATCGTTACGCGGTTGCTAGCGAAAAAAAACACAGTATACTATGTCGATTCTACTAGTCAGTTCTCCAATGGTGACAGTTCAAATTTAAGTTGTCAACCTCGACGAACCAATACATGGAAGGCGAATGATAGATGAATGAACAATTGTCACACAGTAAGGCGGCGCCTTCAACGTGACGCCTGCAGAGACGGTATAGTGTCGCGACTGCCGCGCGTCTGTAGCGCTTTAGTAATTTTTACTTCACTAATTGTGACTGCAAATTGTGACCGCAGTCAGTGTGTCTGCATTTATTTTTTTTATTTAGCCACACATTAGGGAAACCCTGTATCGCAGGTATCGTGGACACACACACATATAGTCTGTCTAATGTTTATCGGCTGCAATCACTTTCGCGCAATGAAGTGTCATTTTACTCCGTCTTCAAAAAATACAGACTATAGACAACCACAAATTACACCCAAACTCACCAGAGAAATAAATGCAGGCCATACAAATATTTCCCGTCCCGGGAATCGAACCCGGGACCTCTGCAGTGGCAGATCAGTATGGTAACCGTTCGGCTACGGAGGCAATTAGAGATAATGATTATAGCTCATTGATAAAAATGTCACGACCTTAAAATGTGATCTCCTAAATCCAGAATACGTCGCCCTGGACAGTACTTTAAAGGACGGTTTACGTTGGGCCAATCGACGCGGCACTGTCCAGAGTGACACAGACAATGTAAATTAGAACGAGCTCTAACTTTTCAACACGTGCATTGAATTGGCTCACGTAACGGTCTAGTGTGAACGTGCATCCTAATTGCGATATTGGCTGCAGTGGAGACGGATAGACCGGCTCAATGGCGGAGAAGCCGCGTACCTGTGCGGCGTGCCTCTGGCGGCGGGTGGCCAGCTGGCGGTGGTTGTGCAGCCGGTGGTGGTGGTGGTTCTGGCGCTTGCTGATGGCGGCCACCGAGTCCTCCTCGCTGTCCTCGTTGTAGCGCCGCGGGCTGCGGCGCGCGCGCAGCGACACGCCTCTCTGCACACGTTTGGCCAATTTCACTTCTGCTGCACATCATCTCGTCGGTTAAAAAGAGAAACAGGTGCTACTTTTTCATCGCACTTGCTCGTGAACGGCTGCAACGCTGAATTGCGCACAGACCTTTTCATTACATCACCTGTTTTTTTTTTAATTTAATTGCCATAACCATATCTAATACGTTAAGATTAAGCAAAAAGTTTTAATGCTCGAAAAATCTGAATTATTTCGTGTAAGCATGAAGTATAGAAAAGAAAACTAAACATTTGCGAAATTAATTTTATAAATTCAAATTCTGAAGCATTTTTAAATAACTAAATTTTTATCTATAATTCATCGTGGCCGTATGCAAACTTCGAGTCATGACTTGTGTTACCTTGGCATGTCCGTTGTGCGTCCGCCGAGTGCTGCCCGAGGGGCCGGCCACATCGCTCGCCTCCTGCCTTTGCCTGCAACGCAATCGACGTGTTCAATAATATTGGTCAGAGTAGTTAAATTAATCGTGTTTTAATAGAAATAAACGCCACAAGAGAGACTAGACGGAATGTTTCTTTCTGGAGTGCAATAAATTATCAATACGAGCATCTGATTTGACAATAACTGCATTTAAACGGAAACGAAAACTTGGTGTTAACCGACATCTGAAAAAGTAGGACTTTTTGTAAATAGGTAGGTAGGTAGGTAGGTCCTACTTTTTCAGAGCCAATTTTGATAATTCTTTTTTAAGAATTTATGGATTCCAAAATAAATAAATATTCATTGTCTTAAAAAATCATCGTGACAAGTAGTTTGTATTATTATCATGTCATCTTGTTCAATTCGAAAATTTGTAATTTTTTTCCGTTATCCCACTGCCACTGCAGGGCACGGGCCCCACTCACCGGTAGGTGTTGAGCGGCGCGTCGTCGTCCGTGGAGTACCGCGGCTTGTACGACCGGTCCGACTCGTAGCGCCGCAGCGAGTCGCCGCCGCCCTCCGAGTCCGACGACGACGACGACGTGGAGGACCCTTCGGTGAAGCGCTCGCGCAGCCTACAATGCGACAAGGCAGAGGATCACTACACAACAAAATTTCTAATCAATATTGAACAAATTTTCCGTTTTTAACCGACTTCGAAAGGGCAAAGTTCTCAATTCGTCCGTCGTTTTGTGTTTCGCGATTATTCCAACATTTATGAACCGATTTCGAAAAGGGGTACATCATTAGTCGTCCCATTCAAATCTGAACAAAATATTCCACCTCTAGGAGTGGCAAATTAAGGGATGCATCCCGGTATTGAACTTCGCCCACTTTCCGTTAACACGGCGAAAATAGTTAAGCAAACTTGGGGTTGGAGCTTTTTAAAGTCATACTTATCAAACAACTGTACAACAGACAAGGCCGGGCAGTCTCACCGCTTGGGCGGGCGCTCCCTGCCCCCGCGCCGCCGCCGGCGCGCGCGCGCGCTGCGCTCCGACGCGCCCGAGTTGGAGCTGCGCAGGCGCCGCTTGCGCGCGCTCTGCGGACACGACACAACGGCTCGCGTTACCAATCTCGTTTGCGGCTGAAGCTGCTCAGTGCCAAGTCGGACAAGGCAGACCTTCGGCATGTCGGAGTCCGCCGAGTGCTGCGGACTGTACGTCAGCTGGACCTCTTCCTCGAGCAGCTCCTCCTCGAGCACCTCGATGTGGCAGTCGGTGGGGTCCAGGCTGTCCGACGAGTACCCCGCCGCCGCGATGGCCGGAGCCGCCGCAGCGTGAGACGCGGTCCGCGTCGCCAGGTGGTCTTCGTGGTAGTCCGAGTCGATGCCGTTGCGGGGCGGGGAGTATTCTGAAACGTAACGACGCGTATTTAATGACGCAATCGTAAGTATTCAATAACGTCAGCGCGCGGAGCGACGGATTGCGTGATTTAAATACACATTCTCCTTTTTACGACTAGACGTATGTTTTAATGACTTAATGATGAGTCATCAAAATAAGTTCTTTCGTAACGACAGTTGTGTTTTTCGAATACTACAATTTAGGTGCGATTCAGGACGTGATTAGTTAAAGTGAATGCGCGTTTTTCAACAAACGTTAAAGCAACGTCACATCGTTCGCCCGTTTATGATCGTTCGTCTTAGGGCGCGTTCCCATCATGTCGTAACGTTTTATTTGTCGTTGGAAGACTGTCGCGTTTAGCCTGTTTCCATACCACACTATCTGCCGTGACTGTGTCGTGGACGTTTACTTCATCATTGAACGACTATCGTGTCTAGCTCTTCCCACTAGATCGTGACGACAATTTATCGGTACACGCAGCCGCCTTGTAGTTTGCACTACAGAAACGTTTTAAAGCTGCGATACTCCTGCGGTTTCTGTCGTCACATTTTTATCGTGACACTTTATTTATCGTATGTCGACTGTCGTTCTAGCATTTCCCATTGTCACGATAGTCTGTCGTCGTAACGTCAAAAAAGTCGCGAACGACAGTTAACCATGCTGTACTAAGTATATGTGAACAACTTAATTTAATTATACAAGGCACGATACTTCAAATTGCACGATTATCTATCGTCACGACATAATGGTGACGCGCCCTTAATGTGTAATACAAGAATATCAACTAAATGGTAGTCACCTGGCAGCAAGACCTCGTCGGGCGCGGTGCTGGGCCCCGCCTCGGGGCTCGTCCGGCTACTCTTGCTTTTTTTGCCCACGCCCTTGCCTACAACGGACAATCAGTCGATACTAGAATTATTAACTTCTTCTTAAAAATGTATTAAAAGTTTTGTATTTAGGGCTACTGAGCACGTTTGAAGAACTCTTCAATGTGATATTATTTCAATACGCACTACGCCCTCTATAGAAAAATTAGGGAATGCATAATGTGTCGGTTTTTTCCTGTAAATAGCATTTCTAAAACGGTTTGGGATCACAATTTTTTTCATTACACTTGCTCGTAAACAGTGTCACAACCATAGATATAGAAAAAAAAGGGGAGGTGACACGCCTACAAACATCGCCACAGACATGGCGATCGTTGTACATACAAGATCTCTCGTAAAACGTGAAAATGCCAAGTTGTGGCGATATGCCTTGTAAAAATTGGAGTGAAAACAAAAATTTTAAAACCAGTGAGATAATATTCCACCGGCTATTTGCATTTTTACTTACTATTTCTATTTTTATTCAATGTTTTCTTTTTGTCTCCATAGAAATTTCTAGATTCAAATTTAGTGATGTTCATTTACGATGACGATGTTTATCGACAATAAATTTTTACTGAAACGTTTGAAGTTCTTACCATGATTTTTGTAATAAAAGTCCCTAAAATATCGAAGCGAAAACCATTCACGTTAAATTGATTTCTTTTATTTTATTTTATTATTATTATTACTAAATATTTTATTTCGAGTAACTTTAACACAACTCATATTTCGGGCAACCGTTTCAATTTCATGTCAATTTGTATGTTGCTGTTTTTTTAGATAATTTAGCTATTTAAATTATACTCGTAGATTAAACGTAGAGTATTTCTAATTTTTAAGTTTTTCCAACGAGTTCAAAATAAAAGAAGTATGGATTGAAGCTGCAGGAAAATCGAAAGATTGGTTTTCTTATTACTACTTCTGACTTTGGTTCAATTTCCATAGCAAATGCATTTAAAAAATAAATAAAATCGGCTTTATTTTACTTGTGAATGCAAAATGAATTAGAAACCATTATAGAAAATTACATAAATCCTTCATAAAAAAAACAACACAATTTAATTTATTAAATTCGTTGATTATTCGAGTTTACTCTTGACAGTGACAGGTTCACCAGCTCGTGGTAACGTATAATGGAAAATTGACACTGGCGACAGTCGCCATATTTTTTATATTCTTATAAAACTGACTGGTCCAAGCCTAGTGGCCGCCATTAAGAAAATAATAATAATTTATATTAATTTAATAATACACCAGTACCAGTGTAGATATAGTATGAAAAATAAAAATATTTTTTTTAAGAGGAAATTAAACTATTTTTCCGGATTTAAATCGCGTATATTTGTTTTTTCAAGCAAACCGACGTTTCGGGCCCTTTACAGGTCCCATGGTCACGGTTGACTGTTTTTTTTAAATATTAAATTAACAGCCACATGGTTTCCAATTATCGATTAGGTAGGACCACATCACTCGTTGAGTAGCGTCAGTTTAAGGTTAATAAGGTTAACAATTCACGGAGCGGTTTCCATCCGCGCCCGCCGGTGCTGCTAGACAGCGGTTTTATTTCAATACTCACGACCCTACAAGTTTGTGCGGGCACGTAGCTGCCGCGGTTGCGGGCACGAAACCGTTGCGATTGCGGAACGGACCGCGAAGTTAGTGGGAGTTAATTGCAAGTCGCGCGGTTAACAGAGAACTCACTCATTGCGCATGAATCGATCGCCAAAGTGCGCGGGCGACGACGGCTGCCAAGCGCGCAGGTCATCGCGTCCTGCGCGGTTCTACTAGTACCCGCCGCGGCAACCGCGAACAACCGTCACCACTACAGGCGTAAAACGCGCCGTGAAATGTGCTACTAATTTTACATACTTAACTGTTACATTCTACAGATGCCGCGGTCTGTGAGTTCTTAGTATAACGAAAAATGAGTTTCAGCGCGATCTAGCGTGTAATAGTTAGCTATTATATGCTAGTAGCATTTTTACTAAAACGCCACCTGATGGTGAATGGCTGAACCAGGATGAAAAAAATGCTGAAATATTGTAATATAACTCTTACTCAAGTGACTGTAAGTTTGATTTTGTTAAATTTTAAAATTGTGTTACGTCGTTTTCACGTTTTAAGCCCTACGTAATCAAAATCTTTAAGTTATGGTAGTAGATAATAGAGCGCAAAGTTTGAATTGCACACAAGCTAAAAAGTGGCGACATTGGCACCCGATCTTACATAGCGTCATTACATATCTCCCCTTTTTTCTATATCTATGGTCATAGGATACAACCAAAAGCGACTGTATTGACCTAAATTATGCGAGCGCGCCTTTTCATTACATCATCGTCGTATTAAGCGAAAAAGTTGTTATGCTCGAAAAATCTGAACGTATATTTCGTATAAACTTGAAGCTTAAAAAACGAAACATTTGCAATTCAACTATATTTTACTAAATTTATAGTGTGAATTCAAATTCTGCAGCATTTTCAGACTTTGGCAATTATTTCCTTTATATCTAATACAGTGGCTGCGTGCATGCGTGCCTTTTATATTATTTTATTATCTATCGGGGAATAGCTAGCAATGTTTTTAGAAAAAACACCCGCAATTTGCAGAATCCGTAAATGTCGTGTTGTGAAGCGATATTTGTTCATAGAAATAAATTATCGTCGTAGCTATTTCTTCGCAAATGTGATGAAAGACATTGTATATACCACGGGCGGTAAAAATGACAAACCTGAAGTTATAAAAGCCCTCAGTCTTCGCCTTCGGGTTTCTAACAACCTCTCGTTAGTAATTACTTATTCGCCGCCCTTAATATCTACACAGTGTACTATTGCAGTGAAACCTGTGTTTTACCGGAGGTACGTTTTGTATTTGCGTGCAATAAAGCGTGTCGCATTGTAAAGACGGTTCACCTTTGCTGTGCACGTGCAGCGGCGCGTCGCTGTCCCACGAGTCGTCCCCGCTGTCGTCGCGCGCCAGTGACGTCACGAGCCGGCCGTGGACGCGCCGTGACGTCATCGCCAGCGGCTCGCTCGACGAGCTGTTCGAGTCTTCCATCGTGGTGTGGTTCGACGCGTGCGCGATGGCGCCGTTCATTGTTTCTGTGACAAACATTTTCGTATAAAAGTCAAAGTTAAAGAATTATTAGAATAAATAAAACAAATTACACTTGAAAACGTTATTTTTTCAATTACTGCCCCATACTATATGGTATTGGCAGAAAATCAGCTCTTATGGTTTTTCATTCAGCACAAACTGTAGTCATACATCCAACTCTGTTAGTACTCACAGTACGTGTTTTATAACAATGCGTATTAAATTAATATTGTATGTTCCGTGTGTTAAATAACTAAGTATATAAACAAAACATAAATTAAGTATTCTTTTGGACTATTACGTCAAGTGCAATACCTAAGAAGTGGCCTGTTTTCTTTAAATTTGAACGGGATCACCACTCGATGGGATTTCAACGAAAAAAAGGGACCGTCGAAGCGGGCGCGTCCTGGCGGCGGGCCTGCGCGCGCCGCTGCGCGTGGGCAGCCGCCGCGGCGCCGGCGCGCGCGCCCACAGCGACTCGAACAGCGCCGACAGCCGCACCGTCATGGAGTAGATCTGCGCAGCGGCGGCTCTGTGACGTCGGCGTCCGGCCGGAGCGCGACCTCGGCCCGCGGCGCCTCTCACCCGACTCCGCTTGTTGGTGTTGTACGCGCGGCTGTTGGCGAACACGAGCCGCACGTCGCGCACGAACTGCTCCGCCGCCGCGTACTCGTCGCCGGCCAGCCGCGCCTGGATCGTGCCCAGGTCCAGCGGGTGCTCGATCACCAGGTGGTAGTCTGCCGGAGGGAAAGCCGTCCGCGATCAAAATCTATTCACTCGTGAACTTCGTGTTTACGCTGGGTGTAGGCTGCACAAGATAACATTTTATGCTCTGGTGCAAAAAGTAAAATCTTCGTTTGAGACCAGGCGCCAACAGCCGCACACATTACAACTTCATAAAATTAATATAATAACCTAACCTCCGGTTAAAAAACCGACCTCAAAAGGCATTCCTCCCCTAGTTTACCACACTTCGAGGTGGAATATTTTCTTGAAATTTAAATGGGACCACATCTGAGGTACCTTCTTTCCAAAAAAAAGAATCATCAAAAACTTGCAAAAAAAAAAAACATTCAGACGAATTGAGAACCTCCTCCTTTTTTTGAAGTCGGTTAAAAGTAGACAATAGTCAGTTAAGTTATAAAAAATAGAAGTGCATAAAAAATAAAGCTTGCAAAATATAACTGAGAGCAAAAAAATACACATTTATTTGCAATATTGCTGTATAATTTCCTCGCAATCGAAGCGAAAAGCAGAGCGCATAACGTCGTCCATAAAACCCACTTTATCCTCGATTTATACGTCTCGAGTAATATGGACAGTTTTATGCATTTGTTGTACAATATCGACTGTGAACTGGCAACCGGTTGACAACTTTACAGGATGAAGAAAAAAAAACATTTTTAATACAGTTGCTCAAAACGTGGTATTTTTCGTACTACAAATCGTGCCGAAAGTCGGTTTCTCGCACTAGTGTTTTTTACTTTTCCATTTTTTTTTAGTTTACAGTTGTTTCAAGTCTTAAACATAGAACTAAAGAGGTTGTATATTTATTTAACATTTATGTGCTTTGTGACATAAGTCATTCGTCGTTAAAACCTATATTTACTTACAAACATGTTATTTGTTTAAATTGCATAGGTGTTTTATAAAACAACGGGTTACATTTAAAAATACCAAAATATTTTCCATAAAGATGGCTGATTGAGTATTAACAATGACCGGAGGTGAGTATTACGCGAGACCGCTTCGAGCCGCGCCAGGAAAATAGTAATTTTAACGTGACTGAATACTGACAACAGTTGCCATTGTATCAGACAAAGAAATAAAATAAGTTTTTTTTAAAATATTGTTTTATTTTACTTTCAATGTAGTTTTTTCGCAAATGTATTAAAAAACGTCGTTTGTTACACGTGCGGATTTCTCATTTTCACTTGTCTCGAGTCTTGACCTTCGCCTCTGGCTCGGGCCAAGAAGCCTCGAGACTCGTGAATAATGACTAACTTTCCGCAATTGTATCAAAAATAACTATTATATAGCATCTGGTTTATTAAATAAAAATATCTAATGTAGATGCATATATATAATAATAATAATAAAAATATCTAAAAACTACGTTTTATTCATTGCCTTACAAATAAATGGACGACGGGTCTAATACAAAAACCACGAAAAAATGTCCCAAGGCAACCCATTCGAAATTTAAATTGTAATGTCATCGCAGTATCGCGCTGTCAGTCGAACAAATGAAGACTAAAGCGGAGTTTGGCGCTCTGTATACGATTTTAGCGCCTTACAAGTGCGGACACTTTTTAGCGCGGACCCGACGTCCATATAATTGTAAGTCAATGGTTTTATTATTTAATAAACCAGATGCCATGTAAATGACACAAACAATTTTTTTCTTCATCCTGTTAAGTTGTCAAAATTTGGATAGTACCAATTGCCAGTTCACAGTCGATACACTATTATTCAACATCATAAATATTCATGTACTACATTAATACAAAGATCGAACATAAAAAATCCTTCTAATAAATATGTGTGAATATGTATGGTATAATGGTAGTAAAAATACCATAACGTTCAATAATAATCTCAGAACAGAGTACTAAAAAAACCGACCTCAAAAGTACGTGGAATTACGTCTATTTGCTAAGTTTCATTGAAATATCCCCTAGTTCGCCACTATACTGGCTTGATACTGGAGATAATAAAAATAGGTTCTCACTACGACACTACTCAAAGTATATCGAGAGAAAAACGCCTTGAATTGGAGAAATAGCAAAATCAACTATATAATTGCTAAAAGTAATTGCTCCTAAATTAAAGTTAGGCGCTATTTATAAAAATGAATCTTCATGCGTGAACAGCCACTCTTAGAGATGGATGATTTTCTTCAAAATGAAATGGGACCACTACGGAAGTACCCCCTTTCCAACAAAAAAAGAATCATGAAAATCGGTTCACAAATACCTGAGTTATCGCGTAACGTACATACAAAAAAAAAGAACATACAGACGAATTGAGAACCTCCTCCTTTTTTGAAGTCTGTTAAAAATAAATAGGGAATATATACTATCTAAGTGTTTAACATACGATCAACTAATCAGAGGGCCTACATTATTTGCAAGAGGGAGACATATGTATTCCTATCTCGCCAGTGTAACAATACGCGGACTCGACGCGTAGAACAAAAATGAGTCGCGACGAGCAGACGCAACGTAGGCAGCTATACATACCCGGCGCCTGGTCTGTGGAGACCGGCCTGCGGAAGGGCTCCGAGTCCGAAGAGGCCATCAGCTCCCGCAACACGTTGGTGCACGCGGTCTTCCACTCGCCCGACCGCGACGACGAAGCGCCCGCGCGGCGAGACTGTGCACAAAAAAAATTTTACTGTTATCGTTTTCTGTACTTTCAACTCAACTTACCCAATATTGTAAGTCTCTTGCAAACATGATGCAATATAATATTGTATAGTCTATGTTTCGGTTTATGTAATAATGAAAAAATTAGAGATGAACCGGACATCCGGTAACTATCCGGCCTATTTTTACTATCCGGACGGATGCCGGATATTAAAAACTGAGGAAAATTCTTAGTCAGTACGCCAAATACATTGATTTATTGATGATAATAATAGGATGAACAGCAACTACAGGATCGTTGACAATCTGTTTATTACTTGTAGCTCAATGAACTATGAAGTTAGTTAGATTAGCACAAGAAATAAAACAATAAAATAAGTAATACAAATCAATATTACGACGGTTATGTTTCTTCTTCCTTCCTGCGGAGATTTTTCCATAAATTCGTACAAAATTTCTCGCAAATCGGCGCCTCCACCGTTTGTAAAGGGTCGTAGCCGTGACAACCACAAATTACACCCAAACTCACGAAATAAATAATGTGGGGTATACAAATATTTCTCCCGTCCCGGTAATCGAAACTAGAACCTCTGCGTGGCAGTCCGGCATGGTAACCGTTCGGCCACGGAGGCAGTTACAGTTGGCAGATGTCATAAGATTCAATTCTAAACCTTGACGGTTTCGACATATTTGTTACGCAAATGACCAAACTGGTTCAAGTCCGTAAAAATAAGGGAACAGACGTTATATAATGTTGTGTTACATGCACAATACGACCAATCGCTTGGCTTTAATATCACATGAATTCGAAATTCAAACCGGCCAATGGCATAGCTTCAATAATTTACGTGTACTGACCTTGGTGGCTTGGTGCGCGAGCGGCTCGTCGTCTGACGATTGGTATGCGGCCGCCAGCTCGTGGTACTTCGCTACCACGTTCACGTCGCGCCAGTGGCTGCCAAAGACACAAAACATCAGTGGGAGGTAAACAGGTTAGAGCGGAGATTCCCAAAGTGGTCATATACATAATCTACAAAGGATCCATGTCACAAAAAAAAAAGGGGGAGTGCACGTAATATTTAATTTGGAATATAAGTTCAAACGGAATGTTACAACTGCTTTAACGGCGGAGTCTTAGGGGTTGTGTTTCTTTTAAATTAAGGTTTTTTTTTTCGTAAACGCTGTATACGCCTGTAATGGTACAACATACTGTGTAAAAATTTACATGATATAATAATCTCAGTACAGAGTACTAAAAAAACTGACCTCAAAAGTCATTCATACCTTAGTTTGCCGCCCTTACAGGTGGAATATTTTCTACAAACTTAAATGGGACCACTACTGAGGTACCTTCTTTCTAATAAAAAAAACACATCAAAATCGGTTCACAAATAAAATAAAACCGGAGTTATCGCGTAACATACATACAAAAAACTATACATTCTGATTGAAAACCTCCTCCTTTTTTAAGAAGGTTAAAAACAGTGTAAGTTTCTCTATGTTTGTGCCGATGGTATATCTAATACATGATAATATATGATGGTGTATTAAATATTTTTTTTTTTTTAAATACATTTTCTCACTGTAAAGTTACATTTATTAAAGTGAGCTTTGTTAGCTGTCGAAAACAAAACAAAGTTGATAAAACAGGTATACGTAAAACAGAAAAAAAATTGGCAAGTGGTCCAAGTTTGGGAACCTCTAGGTCAGAGAGTGAATCGGCCGTACCTGATGATGTGCAGCAGCAGGTCGGTGACGAGCCGCGCCTGGCGCACGATGGGCGAGTGCGGCTGGTTGAACCGCTCCGCGTTGCTGGCCAGGTAGCGCACGTCGAACTGCGCGGCCGCCGCGCGCCGGTAGAACTGCACGGACAGACCATCATACCATTTCGTAACATATGAAATTCTATACTGCCCTCCTTATCTGTATTGCCCGCCTCCGAGGCCGCAAGGCTACCGTGCTGGGCTGCCACGTAGAGAAAGTACTGTGATGTAGCATTCAATATGTTACGTAGGTATAAGCAATGAGCATATGTATTCCCTCGCTTGTATAACCAGTCAGTAATAAAATAAATCATCTTGTTTTATATAATATCAAATGACGGGACGAACAAGGCGTGCGCCTGACGGTAAGCAGCACACCTGTCCATAACAGTTGCAGTGCCACTCAGAGCTTTAAATCGCAAAGACCTGAGAGGCACTGCCACTGCGCCCGTCACCCTGAGACATAAGTTGACAAGTCCCATGTGCCTGTAATTTCACCAGCACACTTACATTTAAAAACCGGAACGCAGTAATGCTGAAATTATTACTTGGCGGCAGAAATGACACTGGAGATAACAAAAATCGGTTCTCACTACTCAAAGCATATGGAGAGAAAAACGCCTTGGGTTGGAAAAATAGCAAAATCAACCATTAAAATAATTGCTCCTTAGTAAAATTTAGGCGCTCTTTATAAAAATGAATCTTCATGCGTGAACAGCCACCCTTAGAGGTGGATGATTTTCTTCAAAATTAAATGGGACCACTATGGAAGTGCCCCCTTTACAACAAAAAAAGAATCATGAAAATCAGTTCACAAATACCGGAGTTATCGCGTAACATATATACAAAAAAAATAAAAAACATACAGTCAAATTGAGAACCTCCTCCTTTTTTGAAGTTGGTTAAAAACTACCGAACATTCATAAATGTACAAGGAACTTACGAATAAAATTTCTTCTCTCATTACGCTACCACAGCTCTTTTGTTAAAATGCGTTTCTATAATGTTTAAAAACTCACCAAGTTGTCGAATCTGGCTTTGATGGTGGACAAGTCGATGGGGTACGGCACCACCATGGCGTACGAGGGATACAGCTGCAAGTCCACTGGCGCCACGAACGGCTCCGCCACTGACAGGCACATCACCTGGACGACACGAACTTATTTATATTCTTATTTGTTTGTATTGTGACGGCAAAGGAGTCAGTCTTATGCATCCGATACGTAACCGAGTGATGTATAAAAAGTAAATGCGAAGGAGACAACACTATGTATCTGTCATGTAATGGAGAGGGATGAAGGATAAAAAAACAGATTTAGATGTCTGCCTTGTGTTTAATTTCCTTACAGTATTATCCTACTTCAACCGCATTGCTCCGAAACGGTTTTTTTATGGTAACAAGTGACGGGACAAACAAGTCGTGCGCCTGGTGGTAAGCTACACGCCCGTCCATAACAGCTGCAGTGTCACACAGGGCATTAAAACACAAAGATCTGAGAGGCTCTGCCACTGCCGCCGTCACCCTGAGGGTTGATAAGTCTCATGTGCCACCAGCATCCTTACCCTTCCAAACTAGAACACAGTAATGCTCCCATTACTGCTTCTTGGCAGAAATAGGCAAGGTGGCAGTACTTCCCTGGACGAACTGTTTCACAAGGAGCTCCACTGCTACAAATATAATTTAAAAAAAAAGGAAACTGGTGAATCTACAGGCACGCGGGTCTTGTCAACTTTGTCTCAGAGTGACGGGCGCAGTGACAGAGTGATTCAGGTCTTGCGATTTAAAGCTGCGAGTGTCACTGCAATTGTTATGACCAGGCCTGTCGCCTGGCGCACGACTTATAATATCCCCCGTCGTATAATATCGTAAAAAAAATTTTTTTTTATGTAACGAAATAAAAAAAACTAAAACATTTAATTTAAATTATAACGTCATTGCAGTACTGCCTAATTTTGCTTGCAACAATTTAAGAGCCCAAAAACACCATATTCAGGTTATACTGGAAACTTAACAAAACGCACCATATTTAGCTTCGACTAAAAATTACTTGAATACAAGAGTAATGGAGTAGCCTTTCTCGTAAATATTAATTAATTTTATATATTTTATTATATATATTATTATGTGTAATTTTGTACAAATTCACTTAAAGATAATAGTAAAGTTGCGCAGATACACACGTACATACAAATATTACTACAAATGTGAAAATAAGCGTGTACTAAAAGAAATGTACCGATATTCCAACTAAACGTAAACTCAAATATCCGTAATTCCGAAAACCGCTTTATAATAAGAGTATTTTGACTTACTTTCGAGAAATTTTGATGCTTTTCACAAAGACAAAATTAGCTTTTGTTTTGTAATCTTCCTAAAAAAATACATTTGACATTATGAACATTCGAGCTAACGTTATTTCGGGCAAATGTATTTTCTGACTTCTGATAGGTAATCCCAAGCCGTAAAAGGAGTACAACAATATTTTGTTAGTTATTGCTAACGTTTAATAAAAAAAATATTTTAGAAATAAGATTAAAATCCAAGCAACTCTATAGTTTCTTTGTCCTAAATATTTCAATCGCTTGTGGTTCGAACAATTGAAAACGACCAAGAAGTTTATATATGCTTCTTGAAACTGACGTAATGGGTCTCTTTCCATCTTTTGCGCATGAAATGTGTAGAAAAAGGGCAGTTAGCTATTTGATTATTTTGTGCTTTTGTAATTTATATTTACGATTCATATTATATATATAAATTGAATATTATAAAACTGTACAAAATAACTACTTTAAATGAGAACTATGATAACACAATTTAATTAAATTGACGTCGGTTCGAATCCGACCGGATCGAAGGAATTTTTTCTGAGTGTTCGATCTTTGTATTAATAATTATAACACAATTTGTTTAGTGAAAATATGATACAAAATCTTGTTTCTACACTTTACTGCAGTAACTTTTAAAATTATTATTATTGGTAGGTATTGCATGATTGACAACCGCGCTGTCAGTCGAACAAACGAAGACTGTTGCGCGATTGACGCTCTGTATGCGATTTTAACGCCCTACAGGTGCGGACACTTTTTAGCGCGCACCCGACTTCCATTTATTGGTAGGTCAATGGGTTATATACTACAATTCTGACACATCTGTCGTCTAATCAACACGCATTAACGCTCGTCGGTTAAGGGTATTGTTGTCCTGGCCTTTCTTTGTTTGGCTTTCGCCTGCTCACTCTCAGTCACCGTCAATCTTCTTTCATTCATCCCCTCTACATGTCCGAACCACTTAAGGCGAGTCGTCGGAGGAGAAGCGGAAAAAACTGTTTTGCTAGATCAATTGGTTTAGGTATTTACTGCTAAATAACGGTCATGCAAAAAGTATACGACACACCTAAGGATATTGTCAAAAGAATGTGCTACTTCGTTACACGACAGGATGTTCTTTATCCGATCATATGAAATCCTGAAAACCGGGTAAAATAAAAGTCTAAAACAAACTATTTTACAATACAATATCTATCTTTGCGCATAATTTTTATATGCAGATATTTCTCTTTAAGTAACTACAGAAAACCTGCTACATTTTGGTATTCTACTCGTCAATAATTATGTCAGTAAATTTATCCCAAAATTTGAAAATGGCCCAGCGGTTTAAAGACCCGCTGCGTCTGTCGGATCTGTGTAAAATTTTCTCCTCTTCAAAGTTAAAGAATCATTTATTTCATAGGTAAAATTTTTACACTTGAAAACGTAATTTTTTAAGCTACTGCTCGTTCACTACGCTGACCTCTGAGAAGAACGAGCAAGAATCTCTGGGGATTGCTCTTATCAAATAAACTTAAATGCTATAGAATACATTTTGAATCATATTTGTGTGGAATCTAGACTCACGTTGTCTGTCCATAGTTTTTTATCTAAGACGTAGTCTACAATTTTGCATTATGACTTTTGAATTAAAATACTTTTAATGTAAGTTTTAAACTTAGGAAATGGTAAACTTAATATATATGCTCCGGAATCTTAGTGTAAAAACGTATACAGTACCCCTTAATCTCAGTACAGAGTACAAAAAAAACCGACCTCAAAAGTACGTAGAATTACGTCTATTTGCTAAGTTTTATTGAAATATCACCTAGTTCGCCACTATACAGGACTTGACACTGGAGATAATAAAAATCGGTTCTTACTACTCAAAACATATTGAGAGAAAAACGCCTTGAATTGGAGAAATTTACCAAAAGCAAAAAAAAAAAAGCAAAATTAACCATTAAAATAATTGTTCCTTAAGTAAAATTTAGGCGCTATTTATAAAAATGAATCTTCATGCGTGAACAGCCATCCTTAGAGGTGGATGATTTTCTTCAAAATGAAATGGTACCTATGGAAGTACCCCCTTTCCAACAAAAAAAGAATCATGAAAATCGATTTACAAATACCGGAATTATCGCGTAATATACATTAAAAAAAAAATACAGTCGAATTGAGAACCCCCTCCTTTTTTGAAGTCGGTTAATAAAAGAATCGTTTAGCTTAGTTAAATTACCTTAGTTAAACAAATTCTTGGTACCACGAGTTTGAACTTAGTTCTAAGGTTAATATTATGGATATCTTCTTTCTTAACGAAGTTATGTATATTTTTTTAATTTTATTGTTCCTTATTTTATATTAAATTTCAACGCGCGGATTGCGGGACGCGAGACGGCTCTCGTACAATTGTCCTCGATGAAAACTCGCGTTAAAATACCTCGCCTTAACCCTTTTTCTATCTTTGTCACTACATCTGCAACACACTGTTCTGCAATTTGTCCAGCGGAGTAGCTCTTACCACACGTAAGTTAATAATATTAGTTAAGAGTCCAATACGGACCTGGCTGATGTGCTGTGCGATGGCGCGACAAGCTGCGGGCCGGTCCCCCCGCGGGGGCCATTCGCTGGCCTCCGCGCGATATAGGGCTGCCTCCAGCTCGTGCGGCAGCACCGGGACGGATCCGCCGGGCTCCGCCGGCAATCTGAGCAACCACAATTGTTTCATCATAGTCAGCATAGGCTACAAAACGAAGCTTATCGTGTGTCAGTGATATGGGTCTCACTGTTTTTGTTGTCTATAAAAGTGAATACTAAATAGAACGAAAGGCCTGTCTGTTTGTCTCAAAACACACGGTTTAACCTAGTTTGAGCACTACCATTTTATAATAAACAAGGTTCATTTTATATGTTCTTATATTTAAGTTTCACTGTGGAAGATTACAAATAAATTATTGCAATATCGACAACAATCCGTTGGCAAGTATGTTAAAGAATGAAATTACAACTCATTCTGTTATTTATTATGTGTGATGAAGGAGTAGGAAGGAGAGCAAAGGTAACTGATTTTGAATTGAGAAGTTACATTGTAGCTTAATTCTCCCCGACTAAAGAATGCTGAACACGCTTGTACGTTCGAGCTACAAACAAGTTGAGTGGAAATGGTGTATGGCGTCAAGCAAAGGTGGCCTTCGTGAAATCGACCGCTCTGAAGTCATAGTCCATTCTCACCTTTCCGGGTCCAAGGGCTCCAAGTCCCACGGGCTGAGCCTCTCCACCTCGCCGTTGTCCCACCTCACTTTCAAGCTCAGGAAGTGCGCGGAGGCGGCGGCGGCCCACTCGCGGGCCTCGCGGGTGCCCCCGGCGGCCGCGCCCGCGTCCGCCTCTGCGCGGGCCGGCGTCACCCGCTCGAGGACGATGCCCGTCCACCAGGAGTCGTCGATCATGCAGCGGAACCTGCACGCGGAGCACAACCGCGGGTAAGGCAGTCGTAAAGACGCGGGGCTCGCGGGCAGCGGCGACCGGCACCTGTCTCCCTGCCCCCAGTGGCGCTGCGTGGCGGCGTCGTACTGCTGGCGCAGCACGAGGAAGTCGATGACGTCGGGCATGTCGTGGTAGCGCACCGTGAGGCTGCGCGCGCGCTGCGCCTCGGTCGCGCAGGCCAGGCGCAGGCACACCACACGCGGCGGCTTGATGGCGTACTTGATGCCCACCACCTGCACCGCCTCGCACTCCTGCAAACGCGGCGGCTGTAGGCGGGTCTCCGCGCGCTTCCGTCTCGTTCGAAGGGACGCTCTTACGTAGACGTGCGCCCGCTCCCACGGCTTGTCCCTCGGGTTGACCTTGTACACGTCCTTCTCCGCCACCGCCTCGAAGTACCGCTGGTGGCCCTGCGACAGTCAACGACGCGTTTCGTCGGTGCGCCCTGCGCGCGTCCACAGATCGCGGCGGAGACCGCTACCGACCAGCCGGAAGTAGAGGCAGTGGTCGCCCATCTGCGGGTGGTAGGGCGCCTTGCGCGGCGACACGGCGCACAGCCACTCGCCCGGCCGGAAGGCCTCGGGCAGCTCGGCCGGGGCCGCGCCCGCGGACGGCCCTGGCGCCAGCGCCGCCGGGCCCGCGCCTGCGCGCTTGGCGCCGCCCGCGCCGGGGCTGTACCTGCGCACGAGTCGACGTGAGTCTCGACAAACCCCCTTCGCAGGCGCCGGGGCGAGGCAGTACCGCTTGGTGGGCAGCGGCCTCCTGCGCGCGCGCGCCGGCGGCGCCAGCGCAGCGCCCGCCTCCCAGTCCGAGTACTGCGACGACTCCGAGCTGAAACACGCGAACGCAGTCTGCTTATGCTTATGCTGATTCACTAGACGCACAAACTTCATTATTTATTTCAGACTATTTGATTACGAAAACAAACTAAATCACACGGCATTGTAAATATTCCACGTTCCACTACTGGACACGTTTCTCCATTAAGAACCTTCTTCGCTTATCGCATTTGATACGCGTTCCAAGCACATAATACGGTACTTAATAATTTTACTGCTCTAATCTGATTATGGAAGCTAGAAATGGTTTTACAACCATTTTAAGAACATTTGTTATATCATTATCTTACCTCTCCTCTGTTTTACTGTCCGAATATGATCTGTAAAGTAAAAAGTGAATATGAATAATTCGAGTTCAATATATCCTGCTTAAAAAAATACAGTGGAGTATTTAAAAATCATTAAATATGCTTGCTAAAACACCATGATATTAATTTATTTATTTATTTACTGAACGAAATAGATCCAGTATAATAACCATCGAGACGAGGTTTACTTTGATAAGCCATTGAGATATTTTTGAACACTCTACAGACGAGTGGCCCACGTATACAAGAGAACACTCACACTGAGGTGTCGTCGGTGTTGCTGGTGTGGGACACGGTGTTCCGGTCGGAGCGCGCCCGCGCGTACCGCGTCCGCGCGGCCTGCGGACGGCCGGGGGACCGGTCGGAGCGGTCCGAGCCCGACAGCCGGACCGACTCGTCCGACGTGTCCGACGAGCCGGACTCGTCCAGCTCGGGCTCGGGCGAGGCGCGGACCACGCGCGGCACCTGCGCAGGAAGCGGGGCTTGACGAGGCCCGCGCCGGGCGACCGTCGCCAGGGCCGCACTCACCGCCACGGGCCGGGGCCGGGGCGCCGGGCGCGGCGGCGCCCCCTGCGGCCTGCGCCCCGCGCGCCGCCGACCCGCTTCCTCCCCACCTGCCACCTGTGCAGGTCCCCCGCCCCGACCCCGCCTCGCCCGAGCCCGAGCTGGACGAGTCCGGC